TATATATATATATATATTATATGTGAAATTTTTGTAGTGAGCTGGTGATACTGTCACCTGATGAATATGATCATCGAGTGTTGTAGTTACAGACAACGGCGTTTGCTGAAAATATATTTCCGCCCTGAAGTAAGTCATTTGTGACAAAAACCACTGATTCATATATGAAGAGTCAAGGTAATGATAAAATACCTAGATGAATAAAAAGAGGCTTACAAGAATCATTTGGGTGGGATTTGCTTATTATTCGCCCAATTCGTTTTTGTAATCTAAAAGTCTGGAAACTATAAGATGTATTTTCCCAGAATAGTATGCCAGATCTCAGGCGGGAATGAACATTCGCGAAATATACTCGAGCAGTGTGGAGGCTGACTGAATTTCAAAGAATTCTGAAAGCGTAGCATAAAGAACTTAATTTAGTGTTCAAAATATTTAAATTGACGTTCTATTTAAGGTTTGACTGAAGTGAAAGACCTAAAAATGTTACCTTAACACCAGTCAATGGCATGCCGTTCATTTTCAGTGTTGTGCATAGCTGTTTATTTGAAATGGAAAACTGCATTGAAACAGCTTTATTTTCATTTACTATTAATTTTTTATTACGAAACCAATTTGAAATATCTTTTATTGCACTATTACCGGTTTCTTCACTGCAAAGAATATTCGTATCATCCGCAAAGAGAACTGTTCTTCCGTTTCTAATCGTCGAGGGCATATCGTTTACGTATAGTAGGAGTAGAATAGGGCCTAAAATTGATCTCTGCGGAACTCCACATGCAATTTGCAAGGAATCAGAAAGGTAGATGACCATATTGCATTTTCTCTGGAATATTTTTATGAATCTATACCTTCGTAATTACAAGTACGTTATGAATTTAAAACAATTACATTATAAATTATATTATGGTAACCTGTGTATTAAAGCGCGAACCCAACGGCGCTTTTGATAACCACAGACAATGTGCCTTTATATATTGTGTTTCCTAAATTTGGGGAAATAAGTACTGTCATGTGCTGCCATGCCGATCATGGTGGCTGGAGGTATTTGTGAAATAGTTACGTGACAGGTACACAGTTGAAACGTACCGATTTGAATTGTGATTGTGTTATAGTAATAATTAAATCACTATAATATGTTGTTATTGATCACTGACATTAATTATTTACTGCTTTATAGTGAAATACGGAAAGTGTTTTGCCCAGATATAAAAAACTGTCAAGTACTAGATTTGATCTCAAGTTACAAGTGTTCTTCAGCGTAAAAGTTCTGTGCCAAGTATTGTCAATTGCCAAAGATGAGTGTGAATGATTCTTCACCTTCAAAAATGAAACCGGAATGGAAAGAAAATATTCAAGATACTTTGGGTTGGGATTGGGAAGTAATGTGTGGACCAAATGGTTTTGTTGTGTGGTCACCAGAAATTCACAATTTTGGATTGTGTTTTCAAGAAATTTGCCTGCATCTTCCAGTGTTAATTTTTTTAGCAATATTATCATCTTATCATTTTGGTTTTCGTAGCAGATACCCTGCCCTGAGAAATTCAAGTTATGCTTTCCAAACCCGTAAAATTGCAACAATTATATTAGCTATGCTGCCATTAATAAAATTATTTATTGGAGTTACTAAAACTCCTCATGCCTTAAATGTAGTGGATTATTTCATGCCATTAGTTGTATCTGTTACTTGGTTATCACACTTTTGTTATGTTTGTACTGTGAAGAGGGGTGGAAACTCTGCACAAGGAGGGCAAATTGTCATATATATTTTGTGGACAACACTTGTGGTGGTTGATATAATGTCTGTTCAATTGTACTACTGTTGGCAAAATATTGCTGTTCCTGCCATGTCAGAATATATGAAATTGTCTTATGGGATCAGTATTACAGTACTAGTATTTCAGTGTATTTATGGTGTTTGTTTACTATGTGATGGCAGAACACAACAGCAAGACTTCAGTCCTGAACAACAAGCCTTGTTGGGTATGAATTGGAAAGTTAATTAATTTTTCATGTGTTCATTAAAAATTAATGTTTTTTAAACAAATTACAAAATCTAACTAATTAATTAATTTGGAATGTATGGATTCTTTTTTGTAGGGTCTCCAAGAGTTCATTCATACAGTCGTTTTAGAGAAGAAGATGATCCTTTATATTTGGGGGTGGCATTGGAAGGATGGTCGTTTCTGTCTAGAATGTTTTTTATATGGGTGAATCCTTTAATGGACAAAGGTGTGAAAGGCAAACTAAATCAACCTGATGATTTACATGACCTTCCTTTGAATTTAACTCCTGCATATTTAAGTAATCAGCTTGAGTACTCTTTGAATTGTGATGAAAATTCAGAACACCAGGAACAAAATAATACAGGTAAGAGAAATGTTTGGAGTAACATAAATACCATGACAGTAAGTCATTTTGAGAATTAGATGTAACTTAGCAAGAGAAAAGGGGCAAATGATTGCTAAATTATCATTGTTCGAAAAAGTCATTTAATTGTTGTGTGCAGTTGCAATTTCTTTAAATATCTTCAAGTGTAGTTTGTAGTTGCAATATCTTTCCTGAAACATGGTATTTTATAATACATTTTAGAATTATACCCCTATAACTATTAGCGGCTCAAATATATTTCTACTTTTTTTTCATTTGAGTGTGTATCCTTTGCTTTGTCACCCATTGTTTTGTATTTGTGTTTCTGTTTTCTGGGTTACAAGTAAGTGACCCAGGATGTCAAAGTGGCTCTTTCACTTCACCTCTTAATTTAAGCTACACACATATTTGACTTCAGAGGAAAATATCATTTTGATATAAAGTACTTCTCGTAGTGAGAATTTGTAAAATAGGGCCACCTCGAAAACTGAGTCTTTGGATTTTGACAGTGAGAAAGTTGCTTGAGACAAATGAGAACCCGCATTTATTTTTATATTTGCATTATAACAAAAGTTATTGTCAATTAAACTTTTGTCCAATGATTTAATAATAAATAAAATATGTTTAAAATTTTTCTTTGTTTATAAGATGTCAATGTTCAATAAGATATCAATGGATACAAATAACTGCCTGGTAATCTGAAGTTTTAAGCTGTTTATTCAGTTAATGAATGTTATCGAATGAGCGTTGCTCTGCAAGAGTTTTATAAAACAGTTGGTTTTGAACTGATTTTTGTTTGTTAAATGCAGGTCATAAACTTTTATTGTGACAACAAATTTGTAATTTAATAATGTTAAATATATTAAAAAAACAAGTTTCTACCTTTTCGAAAAAGTCATTAATTTTCCTTCAAAAATTAAAAATCAATGTTTTTATATGCAGAAAATATTTTATATTAAAATTAACTTACTAAATTTACTGATGAGATTTAAAAACTCATTTTTTCTGTTAGCCAAGATCACAAACTCTAACATGTGGTAATGAAGAGAATGTAGTCACACATGTTCAAGTGAATGTGAAGTTTGTGAGCCAGAGAAATTATTTTATTTTCAGCTGGTTGGTATGGAAGCATTAATAGTGGCCCTGCCAGTCATCCTGATACTCATACCACAATGTATTCCAGAAAAATACCAAGGAGAAAAGTAACTTTGTTGCGAGCTCTTCATTCATGCTTTGGTCTTCAGTTTTATGGAATTGGAATACTAAAATTTATTGCTGACTGTTCAGGATTTGTCGGACCATTGCTTCTAAATGCTCTTATCACTTTCATTGAAACAAAATCTGAAAACATAGAAGATGGTTATGCATATGCCGCTGGATTATTTGGAGCTACATTTGTGGGTTTGTACTAATCATTTGCATTTATTGCCCTAAGATTACATTGATAAATAAGAAAAATTATAAAATGTCAATATAAAAGGCTATATTTTAAGGATTATTTGTTATTTAAACTATTGCTTTATAACCTTTAAATTTATGTTCACATTTGAAACCAGTCTATAGTATTCATGTTCCCATTTTGGAGTTACAAGCATTCCAAAAATCACTATTATATATGTATTTGGGAAAATAAACATGTTTAGTTTACTATATTTATATATTTTTGAATAATTAGGTACTATATAACATTTTTTTGCATCAGGATCTACCAATATTTTGATATAGAGAATATTGCATATATTTAAACTGTGTTATGATTATTCAGTGGCCAACTGTTGAAAACTTAAGAGATATTAAGAAGCTATATAACCTTGAAAAATCATTAAATTGATTAGGACATTGTGCTGATACGCTGCATTTTAATGATGAAATAATATTTTTCTAGACTTCTTTCTTTACCAGGAAAATAAATTATTCTCATCTAGAGAATATGTTATTTGACTTGCACCAGAATAGTTTCCAATTTAAAATATGAATTAATGAATCCAAATGCAACTTTCTGAGCCTAAATTCATAATTGTAAGAAAAATTGTCAAACAAACAAACAAAAAAAAAATGTTAAAAAATTAAATGGAATGGGAGGAGGGGGGATGAGAAAAACTGGTGGATGAGTTTTTGAATTTGGTGGTTATCCAAATTATGAAATAAGTTCCTTGTCAAATGTTTTGTTTTCAGTTTTAGTTTCCAGACAATGTTTACACTTCAAAACAAGTTCATTATATTTGTAAGATTAAAGCCATGCGCAGATGCACATGCAGTTACTTTTAGATTCATTTTAAGTATTAACTGTCTTTTTCTCTAAAATTAAAATTTAATTTAGTTTATATGGAAATTAGATAATTAGATATTAGCTTTTTAGGAGAGCAAGCATTTCAAGTGCCTTCAATAGAGTCAATCAGCTTGACTCAATGTGTTTTTGTACGTTAAAATATAAAAGCTGAATGGAATACTTTCTATTTTCCTAATTTGTTATACTTCTTTGTTAGGTGCATTATGCAATGCTCACTTTAACTTTTTAATGGCAACTGTGGGTCTGAAAATTCGTGGAGCTATAGTGAGTATTGTATATCGAAAGACGTTAATGGTTAGCACTACATCTCTAAACAAGTTTGGGTAAGTCAATAGTATTACTCATCATTCATGCTAGTGCTTCAAGAAAATATTGTATACTTGTTTAATTTTCAGCATTGGAGAAATTGTGAACTTCATGAGTACTGATACTGACAGAATTGTTAATGCCTGTCCTAGTTTTCATGCATTCTGGAGTATACCTTTTCAGGTAAATATGGTTTTTGATTTGGTATTTATTGGAAGAGATATGAATTTCATGCTGCAAGATTTAGAAAGACTATTTAAGTGTTTTTTTTATTCTACCTATCATTATCTATATTTTGTGTTATAAACATTTTTTATTTCTTACTGTTATCATACACTTTTTACTTCTACCTTTCACAACCAGTTTGTAGATTGCTTGTAGATGTATCTAAGTAGAGTTCACATTACTTTTTGTCTGAAATTGTGGTTTTAATATTTTCAGGCCTCTCAGTGTCTCCCTTTTCTCATCTCTAGATTATTTTCATACTATGCTCACATTCTTCATTTTATAGCCAGACATGACTATTCTATAATTTTTTACATTAATTGAATTTTTATTTTATCTTCTTGGGTATGGTCTTGTGAACATAATTGGGTAGAAATGTGGAGAAAAAAATTATGTTTTGCAACACAGCTGGAAACAATTTGTGGAAGCTATAACATTTGCAAAGAAACACAAGACAAATGTACAGGCTCGTGAGCTCAGAGAGAGGATAGTATTTGCGCTTGGTGGCCTTTAAATGTTATGTTATTATGGTCGTTTTAGAGTTTGCCAACTTATTACTAGTTTCAGCATTTATATGGACAAATTCATTCTAATTTCTTTTCATAATTATCCAGGACCAAGATTATCCAGGATTTGCTTCAGTAATTAGTATTACTTCTTTAGAAATGCTTATACATTTTGCCCTTTTCACCATTTTGACACAACAAAACAGGACAATTTTTAACTTAAACACAGAGGCCTGAAATTATTGAGAAGTTGCTGTTATTAGCAAAAGTTAATATTATTAACTACCATTAAGATGGTATTCCTTTAATAATACTGGAAAAATATATGTCAACTGCTGAAGTTGGATATGGAGAGTTAATAAATATTATTTGATTAAGTTATTTTTTATGAATTCAGTTGTGGAATTATTTATTGGTGAAATAAGGCAATTTTATTCTTATAATGAAACTTTGAAATGTTTTTGAGAAACTGAAATTCAACTTTCCTTAATTAAATATGAAGAGAAAATATTATCTGAATAATAATAGGTATGGTTTGCAAATGTGTATAATGTTTTTTTGTTCTTGTACTTTGCAAATTTTGCAAAATTTGAGTTGGCTTCTTTTTGTTTTAAAATCATTAAGAGCTGTGGTATCTCTCAACATTTATTTCTGATTATATCATTTTACAGATTGCTGTGACACTGTATTTACTTTATCTTCAAGTGGGCTATGCTTTTCTGGCTGGTGTTCTTTTTACTGTTGTTTTGATTCCAATCAACAAATTTTTAGCATCTAAAATTGGTAAGTAGTGTATTGTTTTTTAATTGAATTGAATTTTTAATAGCATGATTCTGTGAATGTTGCTTTGATTAACATTTTCTGAAAGAATATGGTCTGATAATTATTTGATGTAGAGTACTCTATTGGAATTTTAATATTTTCACAATCCAAACATCTACTTTTAAAGAAATTGGATAGTTTTGCATTTCTTTTGTCATAGTGCCTATCCCACCAACTTACTTCACCACACACAAAAAGCGCAATTTCTTATCTTATTATTGGCCTTATTCTATGAAATTTCATTGAAAAGAAGTACAGACAGCCATTTACGTTCTACAAAAAGATTTGCTGTGGTAGTCTGGAAATAATTTTGTTGAAAAATCATATGCTCTGTCGACTTAAACATTTTCCTGCTCTTCAAAAATCTTATTTAACCCTTCGATGCACAGAGCTTTGATTTTGCGACTTCCACTTAGTGGGCTTTGGAGTCTAAATAAAACACTAATTTGGGGCTGGGATAAAGAAGTAATGAATGATGACTGTTATTAAATAAACTTGTATTTTGAACTTTTAATGCATTTTGTTTTTTGACTTTTTCCAAGAGGCATTAATAGCACCTGGAAAGAAAGTAATGACATTGATAGAAAGGATTTATAACAATTTTCCAATGATATTAACACTTGTAAATAATTGCTTTACCTCTTTATTTTCTTTGGAAATAATCTATAGGACTTCTAACTTTTGTTCCTATGAATCCTGAAGATTTGAAGAACATTTAGGATTCTTTTGAGTACATTGGAGTTTCTCAATCATAGTTTTAAATTAGCGTGGAAAATTCTTCTGGAAATTCTTCTATACCCCTTTACCCCACTGACGTCTGTATTGAATCATTTTGTGAAGATTACATACATATTCAAAGCAGCATCATCCATCTTGACATTGGATAACCTCATTGGTCATTGATGAGTATGCTTCTATGATGTGTAATTGTCAGCCATTTGATATACGTGGTCAACTCCAATCTTTGTTGTTTATATGCAAGAATAATTGATGGTTTCTTTTTTGTCGTTACTTGGTCTTGGTCCTGATGTATTATACTAAGAAAATGAATAATTTTGTTGAGGATTTCTTGTCTGTCTGGGTGACGCTGCGTCCTTGGCTGAGAGGCTGACGTTTCACCTGTCATGTTGCAGGCTTCCTCGTGGCAGTGAGGAACACTGCGACTGCCCTGAGGAAGCCGTCAACATGACTGGCGAAACGTTGGCCTCTCAGCCAATGACGCAGCATTTAATATAAAATGGAAAAAAATTCTCTAAACATCATAAATAATGCTTTTATTTATAACAAAATATTTTGTAATGTCCCATTTTGAGTAACAAAACTAGGAAGATAAGAAAAACAATGTATGAAACCATTTTCAGTGGTCTATTTGATAGTCAGTTGATTATAATCACAATCAGGAATTCGGCTAAAGGATTTTTATCAAAAAAAGTTTCAAGAGTTTGGGTGTAAGCCACATATCAAACAATTGAAGATTTAGGAAGGAAATAACCATACTAATGATATAAATTTCTGTATCAAATTTCAAAAGAACAATAAGATTTCCAACACTAGAGTTTTCAATGAAAATCAAGGAACTTATATATGTGATTTACTGTGATTAGGACTCCACATTGATAAATACTTCTATCCGGATTCCGATCGAGTTGGTATACGTTGTGAGTGTGAAAATCAAGCTCAGCATCCAAAAAATGCTTTTGAAGCCATGTTTCTGTCAAAATTATCACATCATGATATTCATAGGCTGAAGTAGTTCTGCTCAAGGTGGATAATTTGGTTTGAAGTTCTATAACATTTTGGTATAGAATTGAAATTTGTGAGGATTACCTGTTTATTCATGTTATTTCGAGTAACATCATTTGGGTTGGAATTGGAAATATAAAGGAAATATAAGATCAGCAATATAAGAAATGCCATTTCTATACATCAATTTTCTGCCTGTGATAGTTTTCTTCATCAGATTTCAACTGAGCAAGTAACTTTTTCAAGTGTTCCCAGTGTTTCAATGTATGATCTGCGGAGATTTTTACGGTACCTTTATTATCCTTTTTGAATTTCAAGATATTTAGAACCAAAAAATGAATTTTCAATATGACTTTCAATAGTCTTTCAATGGTCACGTATACCATTGTCTTTTGAGCCTAATCTCCATAGAAAACTCACCCAAATTGATATCAGTGACCATAGTAAAGATGTATTTAGTAGTTAGAATATCATGGTCTTTGTGTACTTTTGAAGAAACCTTTACCTGAGCTTTCTCAACATTGAATAATGTAAAGTGGAACAAATGTGTCTCTCTATCCAAAAATTCTCTGTGCATTTCTTCAGTGTCTTGGAAATAGACAGCCCTGACCCGTGGTTTTTAGTATATTTGAGTTCACATATTTGTTCTAAAAGTAAATCATTAGTAGCTTACAAAAACTCAATTTTCTGATTTAATCTGTTAAGAAAAATGTTCAAATTTCCATTGTCAAATTTCCATTTTCATGAAATGTTCCAAATTCCAGAAGATGCCTCACATTTGTCACAACAATAATGAAGCTTGGTTTTCTTTAATACAAAAACTTTCAGTTCGGAAGTCGAGAGACCAGAGCAACGGAGCTGAAGTTTACCTTTACAAGCACCTTATTTCACATAATCAGTTTCACCAGATATATTTCTGACATTAATTATTTAATTTCTAAAAGTGCAATGTTTGGCCGTTATAGTTCAATATAAAATATAATGTAATATCAATAAGAAATTTACATTCAAATATGTACTAAATAAACACTTACTAATGTAAGAATGCTATAATCAATCCACAAAACATCAAATATGCCCAACTCTGACGTAATATAGATTGGTTGGCAAACTCTGTACGAGTAGAATTAGTAGAATAATACTTTAAGTAACGTAATATGAATAGATCGTTGGAAACTTCAGTTAATATATAATTTGAATTTAAAGTAGGGGAATGTAGTGACTATAACAAGAAATAGAAAATTGGATGATAAATCTATTTTAATACTAAAAGAATTAAATAGAAAATGAAAACCTGCAACATTCATATTTGAAATAACTTGAAAAAATTTGATATAAGTGAAAGTCAAGTAAAGTCACTTCTTTGCTGTTAGTATGCCTAAAATTTTACTTCATGATTTTGGGTGTGCCTAGTGACTTAATACTAGAATGGTGGTCAAAATAACATCTACATCAATTGTTTCTTCAATTGTAAATTCAGTTTTTAAATGTGTTTTTCAAATATTGTGACTTTTCCCCATTTTATATTCTCTTTATGACATAGTGTGAATGTATAAATTATTCTTTTTTATTGTTTTATCATGTGATATTCCTTGAACAGAAGTCATATTGACACCCATATTATTTCATTAGTAGAAGTGTCGCATTCTGGACGTGATTGGTGTTGGTTTGGTCTAATCGTTTCATCATCATGAAGGTTCTACTGTATTGCAATTTTCCAAGGTATCCCTTTTCTCCAGGAATGATGCAATATCTATTGTACAGTTTACACCAATTATAGAAATGATAATTGTTCCCTTGCTTGATTTGACTATTGTATCCTTACTGGAATGTAAAGAATGAAACAAACGCAAGTTTCAGTGTATCAATCTGTGATAAGTTTCTTTCCGTTTTCTATTCTCATTTTCGTTTCCTTGTCAGAATGTTGTGTGTGCAATCGTAATGTCAGGTTCAATTGGTCTTTCTGTTGACAAGTTGACCCATATGCTAGAAAATTCGGATTTCAAGTCTGGAAGTGATGTAAGCGATTCAGATGAAGATTTTGTGCGAAGGAACAGTGAAGATGAAGCTAGTAGTTTGAGTGATGGACTATTAGCAAAAGATTATGTGATAGTTCATGTAGCTCAATCTTTTCCTCAATCATCTCAACCGGAGCAGCCAAATACTCTAACAGTGAAAATGGTTCCATCTGGAACCGAGTGGGAGGTCATCAGTGCCAACTCCTCCTTATCGAGAAGAAGAGGAGCTGTGAATGTTGTGAGAGAACGAGATGGTCCCACTTCATGAGCGGGCCAGCGAACGAATGGATCTATGATCAGTTCCTTCCATGTGCTATTTGATGAACCAATGCTTCCCCTCATGAAGAGATGCACAGAATTAGAAGCATGAAAAGTACTTGACGAAGCAGGAAAACAATTACTGAACTTTGATAATGTGTGGTCAATCTGTGGTCTCAAATAATCCAGTATTCGACTTTCAAACATTTTTGTAACGGTATAAAAAATGTTCTCTAGTTTTCTATATTTATTTTATTACCAGATATAAATATTGGCATTATATAAACTTTTTCTCCAAGTATTGAGAAAAGTATTTGAGTCAGTATAATTATTGAACAAAATGCTTAGTGCTAGAAAAAAGTTATTTGCACAATCTTCCTGTATCTATTCTAGTATTCCGTTGGAACCAACTTATTTGTCGTTATTAGCACTGATGTACAGTTTTTTCAAAGTATTAAAGTTTCAAAGTAACTTTTCTAAACTTAAAAAGACAGAGTGTAGTAAGTAGTTAATGGGGTCTTATATATATATATATATATATATATATATATATATATATATATATATATATATATATATATAGTATTATATATATATATATATATATATATATATATATATATATATATGCGCTTTCTGCTGCCATTAAAGACCCCATTAACTACTTACTACACTCTGTCTTTTTAAGTTTAGAAAAGTTACTTTGAAACTTAATACTTTGAAAAAAACTGTACATCATGCTAATAATATATATATATATATATGATATATAATATATATATATATATATATATATATATATATTATATATATATATATTTTTCACTCACTCTAATTCTAGAAATATTTCAAAAATGATTATACAAAGTATTTGAAAGACTATTTCATATGTTTGGTGGAGTGTTACAAACTCTTGAAAAATAATATTAATGTTACGATTTGATAACCTGCCCAGTACCAAGTATCATGTACCAAGTACATTTTATCTGAATGCGAATTTAATTATGCGTCTATTTTTCAAAGAATTATGAATTGTAAAACATTCAAGGTATTATTAAGATACTGTAATTTACTATAAACTTGTTTGTGACTCTGTTTGAGACTTGTGTGAATAATAAGTGGAAAAGGAGATAATTTGTAGACCCTTGATCATTATGAAGATTTTGCATGAAAGTCTGATTTGGAATTTAGAATGTTGGTATTTTAAAGTGAAGAAAAAGATGAAATTTTTGCTATTTATGACTTCTTTTTACAGGAGAACTCAGTACAAAAATGATGGCTAGTAAAGATAAAAGAGTGCAAATGATGGCTGAGGTTTTGAAAGGAATTACTGTCCTGAAATTTCATGTTTGGGAGAATAATTTCATAAATAAGATAAATGGTATGTAGCAAGTATTGAAAAATAAAAATTACATTATTTCACAGTTATTACTCATTTATCTCAATTTGGCTAGTGTGCCGTGATGAAGAATTAAAATACCTGAAATACCGAAAGTATCTGGATGCTTTGTGTGTGTATTTTTGGGCTACCACCCCTGTGTTGATGTCAATACTTACCTTTTCAACGTACGCTCTTCTTGGAAACAAACTTACCGCTGCTACCGTGAGTAGGATTTTGAATTTATCAATTAACTGATTTCTGTTTTTCCTGACTCTTTTGCTTTGTTAATGCTGTTCCATTTGAAGATAATGGAGAATCTTTCATCTGGGTTGTGATGTTTCTTCCTCTTGTTGTAGGTTTTTACCAGTATTGCATTATTGAATATGTTGATAGCCCCATTAAATGCATTTCCATGGGTTCTCAATGGCCTTACCGAAGCATGGGTATCTTTAAATAGGATACAGAAACTCCTGGAGGTACGTTAAGTTCAACAGAGCATTGGGGCTTAATATTCTGTTTTCCACTAGTTTTAAATGTTATTGAATGACAAATATTTCTTGAAATTGTACCTGGTAATACTATAAACATGGTATGTTAATAAATAGTACACTAATACATGATATTTTAAGATACAGTGAAAATATTACAACAAATGTTAGTTTATTAATAGGAAAGAAAATATTGTTATCTTTGGTAACTTTTTATAGTTGTCCGATTTGGATTTTTCTGAATATTATACGTCTCTTCCATCTGGAGACACTAATGTTGCAGTTTACGTGAAGGAAGGTACATTTGCATGGTCAGTTTATAATAATGAAGAGAATTCTGTTAATGCTGATGAGCCATCTCAAAGCACTGTTCTTAGTAATATAGACCTCATTGTAGCCAAGGTATGTAGTTTTTTTTATTATTTGATTTATTTTATAGAATTAGAATATAAATTAACACACATTTGAAATTGCATGTTAAAAATACATTGTCAAAAGCCGTAGGTGTAGTTTACACTTATTTCTATTTTACAATGCTCAAAGACATCAAACTTTATTTGAACATTCCACCATAAGCAAATTAACAATTAATTAAAGAAATAATATTTTGGATACAGAATGAATTTCTTTTTCACAACAGTTTGGAAAATGTTTTTAGTAAGATCCTGTAGAATTATTTGTAACAAGAATTACCTTAGAACTAAGAACATGATTATCATCCCAGTAGTGAAGAATTACAAGAGTAAATTAAATATCCAAGAAAATGTTTTTAATTTATATTTAAAAAAGAGTGAACATTTTAATTTTTTCCAGAATGTAGTTAATCAGTGTACTCTTTATTTAGGGTGAATTTGTAGGTGTAACTGGACGAGTTGGCAGTGGAAAGAGTACAGTTTTGTCAGCATTGCTTGCTGAATTGAACAAAGTTGCTGGTGTGGTGTGCCTTGACAATGTTGATTCTGGTGAGATTTTTCTCTCTTTTTTTATTTACTATCACTCCAAATCCTAAAGAAATTTTACATACGGGCAGTGGTGCACCCAACGAGTTAGAATATATTACATTGAGTGGCAATCCCTATACTTTCAGCGCTCTTGGTGGAGGCTTGCCAAACTAGTGGTTGCCATGTTTTTTGAAGTTAAAACATACAAGTGGTGGTGTAACTGTCTGTAACCAGCGTCAAACATAATGCTGGAATACTTTGTTTCCCAGAGGTCACTGCTTTGACTGCAAAAAACATGGCCTCAATTTGCTTCAAAGATGGAGGCGCTTCAGGCTTGTTGGGAGCACTCAAGGTGGATAAGGTGTCATAGGGTTTCAGCTCCCCACGCCACCCACCACCACCCACCACGCCACCCCACCCACCCACGCCACCCAGCCACCAACCAACCACCAAACCAACCAACAACCCTACAACCAACCAAAACCAACACAACCAACCACAACCACAACCACACACCAGCAACGCACAACCAACCACAACCAACCAACCAACCACAACCAACCAACCAACCACAACCAACCAACCAACCAACCAACCACAACCAACCAACCAACAATAGATATTCATAAATGTATTTTCTACTAATTTTCTGTACTAATGAAAGTCCTGCAATACATCAGTTTTTAATGTAATAAATATTAACTATAAGTCAACAAATAAAAATAAATCTTATATGCACCATAAAATTATAAAAAACATCAAGTTGACCGGAAACTATACATGTACCCCTTCCTGAAGAATATCTCAGGTGTACCTCTGAATATGAGTACATAAGATGTTTCACATGTGCACAAAATTTGTCTAGCATATTGTACTATTTGCATAGTGTTTCTAATTGTATCTAATTAGTTATAACGATTAGGATCTTAGTTTTTCCTATTTTGACTGACAAGTTATAAGAGAGAAAGTTTAACAACTTTCATAATTTTGCACATTCACTGTGAAGGAGAATTGTGGAATGTATTTGATTTTGATGTTGGAGAGAAAATATAGGTTGGTTAATGTTTCTCAAATTGTGGTTTGGAATTCTCCAGACGCTCTTCATTCTAGATGTAATTTCTTGATAATTGTGGAATAAAATATTACAGAAGGGATAATTTAGTTTCCATTTTGCTCAGCAGCAATTTATTGAAGCAAATTGGTTTAGTTGTTTATAATATAAAATTATGCGTATTTAAAATAGAGGAGGTAGTAAGAGATGGATACATATCTGCCAAATCAACACCTTCAAAAATTTGAGTTTGTGTGTGGAAATCAGAACACACCCTTCTCATAAAACATGTTATTAATTTGACTTGGTAGTGATATAAATTTCATGTTGATCAAATTTCAAATCAGAGTCAAATGTAATGGCATTTTTAAATTCAATGACTATTCCTAATCTTAGTCCATTGACATTGTAATTAAATTGCAGAGGAACAACAGGGAGAGATGGCTCAGGGCATCAACATACATCATTGCAGTGTCTCTGACCGGGAGGTCCTAGGTTTGAATCCCAATGGTAGCAGAATTTTTGACACTAGCTTTTCAGCTAGTTCGAATTCAGTCGCTGTCTGGAGAAGAATTCTAGCGGCCAGCTGCTCTGATTGGTAGTTTTCCGTGGTTTCTCCAATCAGCCCCAGGCAAATGCCGGAGCAGTACCCTAACAAACCGGCCACAGACTGCTTGTGATCTTTCCTACCTTTTCCTTGCTCTATTCTCACCCCTTACACACACTTAGAGAGAGCTTAGAGCTTGTCCCGGCTGGGGCGGTGCTCTGCAGGTGGGAGATACCGGTTGCGGAAACCCCCGCTAGCTGACAGTAGGTCGGCACTGGATTTGGCCATACAGTGGGGGAAGACCACCTCCTGAACAAAAAACATGCACTACACTTCTGGAACTAATGACCCCAGTAGTTGACGTGCCTGGAATCGCTAACAATCAATCAAGCGGAGGAACAGTCAGTATAGAGAATTAATTTTTCTTTTTCTGACATTTAGTGAAAACCAGATTGTATTACACCATGATGATATTGCAAATAATGCTTCTCTCTAGTGTATTACATTCGTCTATTGCATAAATATATGGGGTAGTTTTGCAACACCAGCAACAAGTACAAATTAGCAACAAGAGAGATAGTATTTAATTAAATTTATAGAACATAATAATAATGGTCTGAGATCCATGTGGAACCCTCTCAAGTGAAATGACTTGTCATTTGATGTGTCATTTAAGAGTAATTTCAGAAGTCATGGCAACTATCAGTCAATAAAGTTGCAGGAAACAAAATCAGGATATACAACTGAAAGTTGCTGGAATGTTCTTCACAATGCTCATACAAAATTGGAATCCAGGTACAAGGCGCTATGGGTGAGGGACATAGAAAGATGCGTAAATAGTGATCATTGTTTTATTTGTATTTCATAAGCAAAAACAAAATGGTACGCACAAAACTTGCCCCCTTACAAGCTAACACCTTCAAAATAATCCTCCAAGGCATCCACACATCTTTACCAATGGTGAGGAAGGCACTGAATACAATCAGCTGTGTGTAATGCATCTGCGCGCTGTTAGGATGTTGAATGAGATCGAAGTCACTCAGACTGAGATCAGAGGAGTTCGGAGGGTATTCTAAGACCCCCCCCCTCCCCACCGCTGCACAAGGTTATGGACACAGGCTGAGATGTGGCCAGTTGCATTATCATAAAGTACTGCATTATAACCTGGAAGATTCCTCTGCAGTGTACGGCGCAGTGTGTGCAGCAGGAACGATCTGTACTATGTGGCAGTGACAGTTTGGCCCTCAAGATGACACACAAGAATACCTTAGTTGTCATAAACCAAAATGAACATGACCTTCGTGGGTAATGGATTGTGTCGAAACTTGTGTTTTCATATTGAACCATGCTGCCGCCATTCATTTGATTGCCTCTTTAGTTCTAGTCCATACACTTGTCTTTATTTCATCATTTACAATAATGCAATTCAACATCTCATTTCCTTCATGAGAATGGTCTTGTATTAAATGTTTCCAAATGCAAATCAATTGCATTCTCTCATTTCCAATCAGTAGCTTATTACCAACACACCATAAATGCATTACCTCTCGCATACATCTTTGTGAATCGGGATGAAGGTGAATACATGGGCTCTAAAAATTGTTTGTTAACCATTTTGACTACATGACTAATAATGCTAACCAAATCCTTGGTTTCATCTGAAGAACATATGCTGGACTCAACACACTAAACATTTTAAACACGTTATATACGATGCTTATTAAACCTGTTTTAATGTTTGCATCTGTTGTCTGGTCTCTGTGTTTTCACATTCATTCAGCTGAAATTGAATCTGTCCAGCATACGTTCATCAGAATTGCTGCAACATGATCGCAATTGCAGGCATTGGCGACCCTTACATTGATCATGATTATCATCTCGTATCTTCCACCCTAAACATGCCATCTATTTCGTCTCCTCGTAACTTCAATGATATCTTATTTGTATTCAAGTTAGTAAATGGTGGAATTGATTGCCCACTGTTACTCAAAGAATTGAATTTTTTAGTCTCTGCAATTCGCTCTAGAAATAAAGATACTTCTTCCATGGTTACCCATACAAATACCTACACTGTAAATAACCCTATCACTAGATTGACTAGGATAGTAAAGGAGTCAGGTTGCGACATTGAGTCCTGCAGAACATTTTTTGTACTGAATTACATATTTGTATTTTACATAATGAGTGATTATAATATTTGTATTGTTATCGTGGTATTCATGAGTCATTTTCTTAATTTTATTTCTGTCTTTGTTTATTGACAAAAGTTCATGAGATTATAACAAAATACATAAATAAATAAATCTTGGAATCACTCCAGATTTATACGGCGATGGAGATATCTTGTATCGAGTCCATTTTGCACCTCATTTGAAGCATGTAGCACTGACTTTCCACAAACCTTTCGCATCTTGAAGTCATTCCGTAAAATGCGGAACATTGTCGATGCAGACATACCAGTATACGCTGCTAATTCCGCCACACACCAACGCCTTTGTGTGAGCAGCCTTGGATGTCCACTGCATGGCAGGTCAGCAGTTGCTACTGCACGGGAGGTCAACTTCTGCCATGCAGAAATGCAATTTTTTCATGTGCTTGCTGAATATGTAGTTCAACTTCAGTGTCATCCATCACAGAACAGTCTCTAGGATACTAATGTTTCCACGTGTTGTCTACTAGACACCAATGCACTCAGATGTCATCTGGTGGTCGTATCCTGCGCTGTGTACACCATGTTTTCAAATGTATATAGTGCAAATCGCATATCGCAAATGTGGTTATTCGGAATATTCAAATTAGTTGCCACGACTTCTGATGTGACTGACATATCAGGACTTGTCATTTTCATTCTGCCAACAAGATAATTGTGAAACCACTTCAAAATATTTCAATAATACTAATATATTTAATTTTTTGAAAAAGAGGTAATGGTTGGCAGTATCAGTGTTTTATTTATTAATTATGAAGAATGTGTGTGTAAATTAATATTGTAAGGATTTTTAATTCCATTTATGTTTCTTAGGTTTTGGGTTTGTATCACAGTTGCACTGGCTTCAGCATGGAACTTTAAGAGATAATATATTGTTTGGAAAGGCGTATGATGATAGTAAATATAAGTAAGTATTGTTATGGTGATGTTACAAAAATTGAACAGGTACATGAATATGAACATTCTTTTAACTCTTTAATTGCTGTTGATATGCTAAGATGCAGAATATTTCTGTAACTGGGTGCCTGGGGGACGTGAAGGCTATTGCTGGGAGCCTCTGGATTTGTAAAGGCGTAATATGGAGGTTGCTGTTGAAGTTTTGAGATATACTGTGTTGTGGTCCATTATTACCTTTCAAAGAGTGTGAATCGAGTGTCCTGTTAAGAAGCTTTCCTTTCCTTTTTGTAAGCGCAACATTCAGTTTTTGTCAGACTAGACCCAACAAGAGAGCACTTTCATGCAATGATTGTTTATGACTTTAAAAGTTGTATAAATGAATATGAAAACCTTGATCATTTGCAGCAGGCCTTTGGGTACCTTGCGCCTTCCCATTCAACAATTGTTCGGTGGTTTCAAGAATTTAGAAGAGTCACGAATTTTGTTGAAAGACGAGTAGAGGATCAGGCATCTGGCAACTGCAGCAACGTCAGGAATGTCTTGGTTTCCATTGGAAGTGAAGATCTGGAAGCCGAAAAATATAGAACGAGGAAATAAAAACAATGAGCTCAAGGAAGCTCAAGCTCAAGGAAGATGATATGAGTGCAAAAAGACCAGAAAACTACATAGAATATAAATAGTTTTGAGATGAAGTATGCCTGCTATGCACAAAAGCATGCAAGGACAGTTGGGAGATCTAAAAGATTCACTTCACTGGCACACAAAGAATTGGTTTTAAAATATTTAAAAATATGTCCAAAAACAAATGAGATAATGCATGTGATTATTTCTGTACTAAGATGGCAAAATATTACCTGTAGAACTTTAGTAGTACTTGTAATAAGTCACGTTTTAAAAATTTTGCATGGCAGCAATTTTAAGCATCAAAATGTCATGAAAAATTACTCTGTGGCTTTTGGCTAAGCCATTGCATTTTGCCACCGTTTTTTCTTTTTCTTTCTTTCTTTTTCTTTTTTTCTTTTTCCATAAACTACAAGAGAAATGTACCTTTTTTACCTACTTCTAAAAATTAACAAGCAAGAGTGACTTATGTCATTTTGTGACTTGTGTCATGAAAAGTGACTTACATTATTTTGCTATCTTAGCCCAAATTTAATCCCTGAACAAAAGTGTTTTGAATATTATAGGGAACACATAATTGAACAATGTTGGCAAAGTGGAGACCAAAATTGCCAAATAATGAGCCATAACAGTGGATGAGTTGGAATTTGCTCTACAGAAATGCAAAAATAGGAAATTCACGGGACAGGATGGTGTGCCAATGGAATTATGAAAATGTGCATATCAGGTGAAAAGGTCCTTACTATAGTTCTGAAACAATCTTTGGACTGAATGCAAAGTACGTGCAGTTTGGAACAAAACCTTAATAATCAATGTACATAAAAAGGATCTCTTTATTGAAAACCTTCAGAATTGAAAACCACATTATTGAAATACAAACTTAACAGGAAGGTTGAGAATATCCTTCAGGAAAAGGTTAATGGGTGTAGGAGAGTAAGAAGTTGCTGATGCAATTTTCACTTTGAAACAGATATTAGAGATACAAAGAGAATTTGACAAAGGACATAGTAACTTTATTATTTCGAAGTACACATCAATGTGGACAGATCTAAAGTATGATGTATTTTAGAAAGACCAGAAAATCCTGAATAAGTGCCATTAAAACCGAGTAGCAGAATACTGAAATTCGTATTAGGGTGAATAATTGCAAACCATCAGATTTTCTAAATGTTAACCAAGGATTTAGACAAGGGTGTGTTATGTCCACATGCCTCGTCAACATATACATGAAAAAAATTATGGAGTTTACAGTATACTACAGATCCCAAGGTATAATAATATCAAGAAATAAACAACTTGTGCATCTGACTTACGCTGATTATCAAGTCCGTTTTTCTACCTCAGAAGATATGTCATGCCTGTACCATGTGCTACAAAGTTACATTTTAAGGATATCTAGCAAAAAAAACATAGGCTACGGCATTCCAAGGTAAATATTTGAGAAGAATAAAAGTTATTATCAACAATCAAATTAATGAATTGTTTGTAACTTGTGTCACCTACCTGTGCTGCAAAATATCGATGGCATCAACCCCGAAATGCAAGAGAATATAACAAAGTTGAATGAATTTATGAAGAGATATTTTAGAAATGATAAATATCTTTGTTGAAGAGTGCGCCAATGAGATTACATGATGTGGTGTTTCAACCCACCCTCTGTTTCACAAGTGAAACATGGACACTGAGAAAAAATAACAAAAGAAGATGAGAAGCTTCCCAAATGCATTTCATAACGTCTCCATGCGAGACTGAGTACTAATCGAGCATATAAGGACAAGGTTAAATATTGATAGTGTGGTATACAACATTTAAAAGTACCAACAGAAGTGGTCCAATTGTGTGATAGAACAGGATAGAACCCAATAGGATACCAAAATTAGCTCTTATTTAGACCTAGGGTCTACAGAGATGTAGTCAGACCTAGAATGACGTGGTCAGAACAGCTCTTGAGTTTTGAAACGGGCCTTTGGCTCCCAATCCTTTGAAGGAATAGGTCAATTGTCTTGCCCTTTGGGGCAATTTTTATTACTTATTTCATAAACATTTTTAACTATTTATTTTTTCGTCATCAGATTTCAGTTCATTGGCTGGGTATTAATTTCACATTTTCAGTATTAGGAATATGTAATTAGACTACACTCAGTGAAATGCTCTTGAAAAATTTGAAGATGCCTTTAAAAATTATTTTTAAAACTACATTATAAAGTTACACAGTTCTATTTTTAGTTTGTTCTTTTGATTCTGTAAAAGGTTCAATCTTAAGTAAATTTGAGTGTCTTGATTTTAGGGCTGTTTTGGAAGCTTGCTGCCTTGAAGAAGACATTAAATCTTTTCCTGGTGGAGATTTGATTGGTGTGGGGGAAGGTGGTGTAACTCTAAGTGGAGGACAGAAAGCTCGTGTTGCACTTGCCCGTGCAGTTTATCAGGTAAATATTTTTAAATTAATGTTTGTAATATTAGTATTAAATATATTAAACATATATTGCTATTTTATCTTGTAATTCAATTGCATGTAAGTTGTAAATCGACATAATTTTATTTTACTGATATGTCTTTTTCTTCTTTGTGACATAAGTGTTTTATTGCTGTAGTTAATGAATTCAACCACTCAATTTTTAGGTTTGTTTTAATTTTTTTCATTTATTATCTACACCTACAGTCCAAAATTACAAAATATTTATGTTTACCAAAATGTTCAAAATGATTTTCTGTAGATATTGAATTCCTTGTACGTAATTTATGTGGTTAGTGAATGTATATCAGTCTTCATAAGTGTCATTCCTGTCAAAAGCAGATAAAAATTTTGACCGCGACCCCTTTGATTTTGTTGACACTTGGCATATCTACTACTTTTCATAGTCTGCACTCCAAGGGCTTCTGCCACCCTCAAAACTAGTTTTGACTTCCTTCACTTTCCCATAGACACTTTACATATTCCTTTTGTCACCTTGCCAAGTGATTGACTCAATATTGCTTAAATGGCTCACTTCAAAATATAGAATAATAATAATAACAACAATATCAATAATAACAATAATAATAATAATAACAATAATAATAATAATAATAATAATAATAATTAATAATGATGATGTTGATAATTACTGTCATGCAATCTTTGAAACAGTTCTTTCTTTGCATGTTCATTGGATTTATCTAATGAAAAAATCAGGGGAAAATTAATAAATTTACTGAAAAACTCGGAAAAGTGTGGGAAATATGTTTCAGAAAAATAATGGCCACTGTATCTGGTCCTGGAGCCTTGGTGTTAAAAATTCTGCTGTTTGCATGCAGTAGTGCCACCACCAGTGTCTTGTGGTATCCTTTCTAGCTCAAGTGACACTGTGTTGTTCGCTAATCGTGTGCTGTACGAATGGCCATCTCCATCCTAAAAATAACTTTTGGGCAGGTTGGAGCCTGTGTATGCAACTACGCCATACATCCTCATTGCATGGTCTTGCGGTACTTGGGCATTTGCTTTCCCAAATTGTAATTTTTAGTTGATTCTGGACAAGTTTATATTCCTCTTGCAAGTAATAAAAAGCATCCTAATAATGAGCTCGGTTTTAGTCTCCTGGCTTAGAGGTAGTGTTGGTCCAATTGAGCTCTACTTTGTTTCATCAGTAAACTGGGAAATATCTATTGACAGTTCCTCCCCTTTGCACAGCTGCATCACAAGTGTGTGCAGTGTATTATTTTCATTAAAAAAAATATACAAAGTGACCAATATTGCATATCCATCTCAACATAAAAGTTCTTTAATTTGTTCACCTTGCCTTATCAATCTTCTATTACATTGATACCTTGATAAAATATGTGTAAGATATTCTGTTGTAGCAAAATTTTATTACAACATTATGCTGTTTCTTATTTTACAGAATAAGGATGTATATTTCTTGGATGATATTTTTTCTGCTGTTGATAATCATGTGGCTCAGCATTTGTTCCGTAAATGCATTACTGGTTTATTGAGGAATAAGACACGAATACTCTGTACTCATCATGTTAAGTACCTAATGTTTGCTGATAAAGTTGTGATAATGGATAATGGTGCCATCAAAGATCAAGGTGAGTTTTGAAGTGAGGTCGAGGCGAGTTACTGAAAATGTATGCTCTGTCACTTTGTGTATAAATATTATTTAAATTAGTAGTTATCCGTTCTATACTTTAGAATTATCTACAGTGAAATCTTGTTAGTACGTTTTTCAAGGAGTTTTTTGAATGTTGTAAGTGGGAAACCGTACTAACGAAAAGTGCTCAATTTAGACATACTCTTTACATTCCCATCTGCAAACCAACTATAATAGAAAAAACTAGTGGATAACATGCAGATATCCAAAAGATGAACTAATTTGTTCATACATGACATTGAATGAATCTAAATTACGCAGAAACAGCACTCCAAGTAATATACATTAAGGTCTGTGTTAAATGAGTGTTACGTTGACATGTGTCACTTAACGCACATTTTAGGTTAACATGACCTTATGTAAAAAGGCACACGAGGGATCTAGCAGGTGTTTTCAACGTTTGGTGATGCGCGTCAACACAATGCTCAAGTGGCACATGCCTAACAGAAAAAAATAGCAGTGAAACACGTTTCCCTGGCTTATTAATCAAAGTAAAAGTAGTACCCAAAAGTTGTAAACGACGCACATTGAAGATGGTGCCGGTGCACTGGAAAATGCATCTCTCTTGTGAAGCATGTTACCTATACAAACTGAATTCTAACTTTGAATGTGCTACCTGGTATTGTTCAACATTTAAATGAGTAATCGGTAGTATTGAGAGAGCGAGTGGGCGAGACTGTGTGTGTGTGTGTGTGTGTTTTTTACGTGGGCAGGGGAACATCTTCTAAAGACACAGCGGGGCCCGCAACCCGCAGCGTGTGGGATTCATAGCTAGCCTATGCCTACCCACTAAATAAACCCCTTCCCTTTCCTCCCTATTCCTCTTCCCGCCCCGGAGACCGCCGTCAGGCATGCATTCGCCGAGAAGGAAGGATGGGCTTTTCGCAACTTCACCGAAATATTACGGAGACTTCTTCGTAACAGACGTCCTCGGAGCGGAGCGTCTTCAGGACCTTTGCGGCATAAGTGGCCTACCCGCACTCCAATACTCTTGTGTCAGCCCCAGCACAGCTAAGTGACGATGTCTCGGGGACACTTCCTCTTGGAGGAGTCCTGGTGAAGTCTCTTCCCTTTCCACTGCCGAAGCGTGGACAATGAAAGAACACTTTCTACCATTCTCACAACCACCGGGAACACCTTGGCATGAGGAGCTATCGTCAACCGGAATCCGGGAGCTGATAACTGCCGGTAACATCCCATGCCCTGTCAGCATCTGAGTTAGATAATAAATCTAATTCTCCATGTTACCCTTTGGCATCACACGTCAATGGATTCGGCGGGCAATGACCCGAAATGGTCCACTCCGCCCACGTTGATGAGGTCCCTACTCCGTGTGGCCATTGTGTGGTTGCCCGAGTGTCACCCGGCCCCTCTCTTCTTTCGGATGAGTGTTTGGTATTCCCAGTTTGAGGGGCCCCCCTCCCGCCTGCGCAAATAGAGTCCTAGCTCTCTCCTGGACGCCCAATGCAGCGTCCGATCGGAGCATAACCCTGCTAACACACACACAGCAATCATGTAAGACTAACCCCGGTGCGAAAACCGCTCCGAGCAACCCCCGCAAGGACGGACCTTCTACTGCACTGACCTTAGCCCCACGGGCGTATGACTGAATGCCCATGGATTCAGAAAAGGGGCTGCGTTAGAGAAGAATGCGAATTACTACGCCTAGTAGCAGCCTTCGGCTTCTTGCCCAGCGACCCCCTACCCCATTAGGCATAATGCCGTTGGTCAATGGATGATACCGGAGACACCTTTCTCGCGAGACATTTGGCAGGTCGCGTCAAAGCGGCCAGTCTCGCGTTCAATTATGCACTCCCAAATACCTCAGTGACAGCTGCGAGGATATTTTGCAGCCTCCTACATTAATAGTAATACTCTCTCTCACTTTTATTATTAACAATGAATATATTGGCAAATTGTTATGCTGTATATTATGTACAATAACTGTGCAACTTCCAGCATGAAACAGTTTAGTTTCTATAAGGTATTTTCTGCGGTAATTAATATTACAAAAGTGCTTGCTATTTACTCAATTTTTTTGCTAACAAAACTCACTATTTGGCTAATTTTAACTTCATCAAATTGAATAGGGCTGTTTTAGTCATTTGTGTAGAGTATAAGAACCTCTGATTTTCTTGGTTTTAATTTACTGTCATTGCAAAATTTTCTTCTTCAGGAAAACCACAAGATGTTTTGCCAGATTATGATGAATTTCTGTCATCATCAGACTATGAAACTTTCGATAGCAGTCCTTTGAAAACTCTTGTTGAATCAAAATCTAATCAGATGCAGGAGGTAAATGAGAGCGATTTTCAAGAAGAGGAGCGAGAAGTGGGCACTATTGATTGGAGTGTTTATGGTGCCTACTGGAAAGCCATTGGGCATTTTCTTGCTGCTTTCATACTTTTATCAATTATCTTCATGCAAAGCTCAAGAAATCTGACAGATCTTTGGTTAAGTTACTGGGTATGTTTTATGCTTTTTTTGTGTATTGTTGTGTGTTTAATGTGAAAAAATCTTTAAATTAGTGTTCAATATTGATTTTATTGCTCATAACTATTCAGCTCAAAACTGTTAATTTTTATTTTAGGTGTCACATTCAGGAGATAATCAACCACATTCAAATGATGACTCTGTTGCACCTAGGCTTTATCATTCACTTGACAAGTCAAACGTAAAATATTATTTGACAGTTTATGGAATTTTGGCCTGTTGTAATTCTGTCTTTACATTATTTCGAGCCTTCTTATTTGCTTTTGGTGGAGTCCATGCAGCTACTAAAATTCATAAGTCTCTTCTATCAGTAATAATAAAGGTAAATTATTTGTGTGAATATAATATGCATAATTGCATTGCTATTAAGCATGGTCATTAAAAACATTGTTTTGTTTTTTGTAGGGTCGAGTTACATTCTTTGATATTACTCCCTTGGGGCAAATACTAAACAGATTTTCATCAGATATATATACCGCAGATGACAGCTTACCGTTCATTCTTAACATCCTCTTGGCGCAGTTCTTCAGTCTTCTTGGTAATATTTTTTTAAATGTTTTATTTATTTCTTTATTTTAATTTGTTGCGTCCATATGGACGCAACGTGTCTCCTAGCTCCTTAAGGAGCATCGAGCACACCTTGGATGGAATAATCCTGTTATGAAGCACTTGGCACCTGCTGGGTAGTCAAGTTACGTCAGTCACAGTCAAGTTAGGGAATCATCGATAGGTAGCGTCTTCGCGCTCGCATCTCGCATGCACCCTGCATCATCTCCCCATCAGCCAGGAAAAAGGATAGGTGTGAGGTTTAGGACACTTCACTGAGGTTGGAGTAGCCCTTGTGAAACAGGCACACTCATTTTGTCGTAACAAATTTCATGTGATTTTCGCCGAACCCCGTGAGCACTCTTTTTTTCTCTATTTCTGCATTTATGAAGATTTTTATTTCTTGTTCAGAGCAAATTAAATATTCATATTGTGATCTACTTCAGAATGTTTTTCTATGATTTGATTCAATTCATTTTACAATGCGTAATTGTTACTTGATAAGTTAAAAACTTCTGTGACATTGAAAATGTTTAAATGCGTCCCTTTGATGGACCTGTTAATGGCCAATGCCCTCTTTTGAGACTTTTACTTGATTTATTTACACAGATTGTAAATTTCAAAATAACAAATGCAGAAATATGACTCAATGGCCACAAACATAAGTTATTTTCACAAAGGCTTAGCCTGTATGTGAAGATACACAGAGATATATATAAATCACACAATTTATAATTAAATATATTTAGAAATAAAAACTGGATCATAAAAAGAACAGAGCTTTAAAACCTTTAGAACACAATAAACAAATTACATAGTATCAAGAAAACATTTAATATTTAAGAAACTAGAGCATAAATAAGAACATTATACATAAAGAACGGGTTGGAAAATACGATTACTACTTATCAATTTACAGGATGATATAGTGAATATACATAAAAAGCACAGTGAACAATTGTGAAAACTTGTTTATAAACCAAAAATAATAAACAAGTGACATTAAGAAACTACAAAGAATTAGCTGATAGACTTCTACATAATAATAATAATAATATAATAGTAATGATGAGGAGGAGGATAATAAATTTGTCACATAAACACAGCATACACCATGTATGACAAGTCAGAATATGTTTATAATCATACAATACACAAGACAGATATTTCTAAAAATTAAATACAAGACAAAATAAGTTTAAAATTCAATTCTCGTATTAAACACAATATCATGGAAAGCTAATTAATTTTATACATGGTAGTGAAAGAAGACTTTAAGTTAAAAATCAATAATAATAAAAAAGTGAAGTTCTTCTTAGATTCATTCCTAGGCTAGGCCCGTCCTTAATATCCAAAAACCAGTTTAGGAGGGTTTCAAAACATGCAACAGAAAATGCAAAAATTATTAGTATTAGTTTATATTGATGTGTTTATGAGGCATATATTCTTTGGTACTGTAGAATGTGTGGTTTAAAAGAAAAACTGTTTATTTTTGAATGTGTGTATTGAATTTAAGCTTTTAAATTCACTAGGAAGTTTATTATATAGTGTAATGCCTTCTATAAGGGAACTTTTTTGAAAGAGTGAAGTTTGTATGTGTAAAGCATGCAGATTTATTTGTTGTCTAGTATTATGAACTTTGTTCAGAGTAACAGAATCCTTGTTACTCTGAACCCATAAGTGTCTTCTTTGTGAAGATTAATATTTCAAATATCTACATGCATGGGAGTAGTAGTATTTGTAATTTTTTGAACAGTGGTTTGCAGGACTCATGTTTGTGAGTGTTTGTCTTTGTTCTCAATATTCTTTTTTGGATGATGAAATGTGAATACTTTCTGGGGAATTTCCCCAGAATATTATTCCGTATTTTAGGTGCATGAACATTTGCAAAGTACACCATTCGCAGTGTATCTAAGTTCAAATTTGACTTCAGGATGTATATGGCATAACATGACTTGGTAAGCTTGTTGGTTGGATCTGTGATATGGGAGTTCCATTTTAGATCATCTTGAATAGTCAATCCAAGGAAAGTTGTTTTTTGGGCTATTTTTACTGGTGTGTTTTTTTTCATCAATTGTGCTGGAGACTTTCTGTAGAGAGTGGATTTCAAAAGTTTAGGGAGACAGTTTTACTGGTGTTTATGATGAGTTTATGTTCCTGAAATCATTTTATTAGTGCCTCTAGGACTGTTTGTGCTTCTTTTTGTAGTGTTTGTTGGGTATTTTCTTTAATAATAATGTTTGTATCATCTTCAAATAGGATTATTTTGCTCTTTTGTAGGGTCAGGGGCATGCCATTGATGTATAATACAAATAGTATGGGGCCTTGGATTGATCCATAATTTATCATTCTAGGTGGGGAAAAATGGGTAGAAAGGTTTTTATCTCTAACATGCTTGTTTGTAACTACTAGACAACGATTTGAGAGGTAAGATTTACCCATTGATGTGCAATCCCTCTAATTCCCAAAGTTTCAAGTTTGGATAACAGTATGTGATGGTCAATAATGTTGAATGCCTTTGATAGATCTAGAAACAAACCAATAGGGATTTCTTTCTGACTTAGAGCAACAGGTGTGTTAAGAAAGGTGAAGATAGCTTTGTTTGTAGATCTACCATTTCTGAATCCATGTTGGGCCTCTGTCAGTATGTTATTTGAATTGAGAAAATTTTTGAGTCAATCATTGAAAAGCTTTTCTAGAAAACTATTGTACTAGGTTCCTCTGAGCAGTGTGGGCTGGCAAATTAACAATCCAGGTTCTTAATTTTTTTCTTATTTGTATATTTGCTTATATTACAATCGTTAATTCTTTTAGAATGTTAAAATGTTTGTTACTTAAGAGAAAATTTATGTCTTCTGATTTCTTTATGTCCCTTTGGGATGAAGTAGGGTAAGTCTGTTGCAAATATTCAAATGTTGAAAATATAGATTATGTAAGCCTTAGTTTCTGAGTGAGATGTATGAATTTGGTGAACTTTTATTTTTTTTAATTATGAAGTTTTATAGGAAGAACTTACTTTTTATACGTTATACTGTGAAGCAATTTTAGATTCTGACTTAAGTGCTGACACTTTTTTAAATTTCACAAATAAAAAAAACTGAATTTTAATAACAGTGTTTAAATCAAAACAGTCCATCATATCCCATTGATGCTTTTGAAATATAAAATGTGCTTATTTATGACAATATTGAAAGGTATATTTTACTATTATTTCCACAGATCTTTGGAAGCATCTGATGTGCTTTAGAACACTAGAAAGTCATGACAATTTGCCATTTTTGAGTGATAGTACGCAGTGTGATATTAGGAATGATGCGGGAAATAAAAGAAAGCAACAATTAATTATTTTATTATTGTTTTCTATATTATGCAATATTTTATGTACTTAAATTAACTCATTATTTCATTAATTTAAAACTTATAATAAATATGAATTTGATAGTTTTAGGACCAGAAAAGTTATAACTCTCATGATAAACATAACTTTCAATTAGCTTTAGAACTAATAATTTCCGTGTGATAAATAAATTTCAAAATATCAAAATACACTCCCATATTCCTAAATCAAATAACCCTTTCCAGCATGTGTTCATCAAATTTGAGGGTGAAATTTATATGCAATTTTGTTGTTGCTATATTTATTTGCATTTTGATGTATTCAAGGACAAATTATTTTCTCTACACCATGTTTCCAACATGTCACTATCGTTCTGCAGTGTAGTAAATTTTATGCTATAAAACTAGTTGTTGTCCTTAATGGAATTCCTCATGTAACTAAACTCTCTTGATATAAAAGTCTTATATTTGACTTTGTGATTTCTACCAATTCTGTAACTATTTATCCAGTTTAATAAGGACCTCATGACTCTCTTAATTTTATTTTCTTGTTCTTATTTAACATACGTAGAGAAAGTATTGTAATCGTGCGCCAGAAGACGGTGAATTTTCAACACAAAAACTCTTATCGCGGGCCGGGTGGTGAGGAAAAGGTGAATATATACAGTTGCTAATTACCAAAAAAATTCTGTTTACACATGGTGTACCCAGAATCCATGATATGTGTGTCCTTGATATCAAAAAGTTGATTGACAGGAAAAGTCTGTCTTGTCTGTCCCTCCCTCCACAGCGCTAGTGCATAAACCAACCGTTCAGCCAGTTATCTCAAAAATTGATAATCTCAAACTATTCTGGCTGATGTCACAGCCCCTGGAATTTGAAACTGATATTTTTATTTTGGGGGGTTCTTTACATGAGGGCCCTCAGACGATTTCAAAATTATCAAAATAATGGCTCCCAATTTTTTTATTAAATTTTGTTGTTGGATAGTACGAAGAACATTTAAGAGAATGGTGCAGGTCCCATTTTTGTTAAAATCCCTGATTTTTCGAAAATTACAAAAATTCAATATTTGTTCTTCGTCTTTTTACAACTATAATATTAAAGATAGATTTTTTCCTAAAAACATCTTGAAATAAGGTCATGTTCAACTTTTTGAAAATTAGTACTTTTTGAGTAATTTTGCCTGAAATATAGGCAATTTTTCCACTAATAAAACCAAACTGTCTCTGACAGAAATGGATAGATCAAGTAATTCAATTTATCAACAATTATTGATTCAAATAGTTTAGGAATTACATTCAGAATTGTTATTGGTCTATGATTAGAAATACAACTCTTATCACCAGATTTGAAGATTGGTACAATGTGTGAGGATTTTCACTCCAATGGAAACAGACCTTCAAATAAAGATTTATCGAATAGAACCTTCAGCAATTGGGAGAAGACAAATTCACTTTTTTTTAAAACAAAATTGTAGGGATCCTACCAGGACCAGTTTTCCCTTTTATGTCAAGCTTTCCATTTTTTTGTACATCAGAAACACTGAAATCAATGGAGTTCAAAACATAGGGAGATCTGTCATAAAGATTTTTATCCTCTATCCAACTTGAGTGATGAATATAAAATGTGGAGAAATAACTTGGAAATCCATTTACAATAGACAATTGAACTCATCCTCATAGAGTCGAGCAAACCTCTGCTAGTCTCTTAGAGTCAATGTATTTCCAGAAGTTACTCTTATCAGTACTGATATGTTGTGAGAGATCCTCATTAAACCTCACGAAGTCACCTTTTGCTTAGCTTTTACATTTATATCTAAGATTGGAAAGGATAGTATAATGCAGAGGAGAGTCAAACATTTTGTAGCATTCCTTCTTCCTGAAAATTAATTCTTTTAGATCCTGACTATACCAATGAGGAAACCTAAATTTTTTCAAGATCTTTTTAGGAGCAAAGAGATCAATACAATATCAATACACTGATAAATGCCGATGTGAAACATGGAAATAAAATCGGAAAAGCAAATATTGAAAGATGAGTATAAAGCATATAAATCACACAGATATAATTCCATCATAGAATAGTCTGCATTAGTAAAGTCATAAATCCAACGTTTGGCATAAATATCATTACATGTTGTGGAACACTGGGAGAATACATAAACGTAACACACATAATCCCTTATGGAACGGTTAGCATCCACATAAACAACTTCCTCCGGAGAAAATGTAACAATGTGACAAGTGGAATCAGAAAAGATCAGATCAGGCATACCATCATTCTCATTAGTTATTACATTAATTTGAAGGAGATTCAAAAAGTAATTGCATCACCTAAACTTTCGACAGGATTTTTCACATATGATCACCAAAAACTTTACGGCTTGCAAACCTGCCCTCATTCTATTTCACATTTAGCAGATTATTATCTCCAAATCATTTCCAACAGACATCAGGGTCCTCCTAAACTGGAGACTCTAAAGTCATGCGAAGTAAAGATATTGTTTGTTGTTAAAGACGGAAAATAAATACAGCCAATTATCACATTAAGGTTATTCGAAGAAATACGAACAAAGAGATGCTAAATGATATTAGAGAAATTAAGCTAAAGGCAGTATTAAATGTTTTTGATTGCAATAAGGACACCCCTCCCCTGGAATTTAAACCCAAGTTAACATTAAAAACCCTAAGTTAACATTAAAAACCCTAAGTTAACATTAAAAACCCTAAGTTAACATTAAAAACCCTAAGTTCACTTTAAAAACCCAAGTAGTATTTGGTAAATTAAAATATCAACACAAAATTAGCCATAGTAGGTAACTCAAAAATTGTTCCAAGATTTAATGTATACTGAAGGTAAGTGTCTAAAGAACATTTAGGTGGAGAGTAGATATCGCCAACAATAAGTGATATATGAAGCGATATTATAAATACAAACATTTTTTCTACACCAGAATTGTAAGAGTCAATCGAAACATTGGAGTTTTTCGGCGGAATGGTGTCAAAGGCACCACCTCCACTCAGATGACTTATGATGGATTCCTACTACCAATGACTATGACTCGGAAGATTCAATTCCGAATTCCCAATCTTGGAATGTGCAACCAGGTTTCAATGAAATCAATAGTATCAACATTGCATTGCATGCTGTATTATTTCATTTTCAAGATTGCCATTTTTATTCTCAAACCCCTCATATTTTAATAGTAAAGAGAAAATAATGATTACGATTGCTGTCTAATAATTTTTCCATAGCGGACCATAGGCCTTAGTTAATACAGTTAGTCAGCAATCTTGAGTTTACTGTTGACATACTTCATTCTTCTTGAGATATTCCCCTTTTCTCATCAAGTTTCATAATCATAATAAAAACATGTAATATTTATGTTTCTGTACAGAAATATCTGTATCAAAAAAGTGTCAAAAGCAGTCAACATTGAATAAAACAGAAACCTCCCTAAATCGGAATTTTTGTCTTTGGTCATGAGTGATTCCAGCTTAGACAAATTTTACTGTACACTAAGTTGTTTGAATCTACAATATCTTTAAGATAGGCACACGTATGGATTATATAAGAAGCTTCATTATAGCACTAGGATTCTAATGGATTTACTATAGCACTCATTGCACCTCTAGTAAGCACTCCTTTTCAAAGACAAAAGAAAAATATTTAAAAAAAGTGTTACGTTGCTATATTTAGTAAGACATTCATGTGAAGTAGAAATAAATAGGTATGACCTGTCCTCACTGTTCCCCCATCTTCACTGCTCACCTTTGCTAACCATTTACTCTGCTCGCCTTTGCTAACCATTTATACTACCCATCTTCACTGCTCGCCTTTGCTAACCATTTATACTGCCCATCTTCACTACTCGCCTTCCTAAATGCTATACGTAGTGAAACCTACTGAAACAGCCTCCTTGATTAAGCAGTCACCTACATTAACAGTCAGTTTTATGTGTAACCAATTGATTTGACTACAAGACGTGTAAATATTCCTTTTCTTAGCGGTCAGTGACCTGGCACATTTTGGAGATTAACCTGCAATTGATAGCCACAACTTCTGAGGAGTGTGTGATTTTGATCTGTGATGTAGTAGACAGCAGAAGACCAGTGGATATTACTAATGGACCAGTAGAGCTTAATTGATGTGGCATTTAGTATAAATGTTACCAAAATATATTACAAAATTGAATACTATATTGTTTTGTCTTACAGATTGCAACTTAATTTTTCAATTGTTTAACTAGTGTTACAATAAATTGCTTCTGTATAATTGTGTTAATAATTCATTTGTGCATTTCATTAATGAAAATTATGGCAGGTCAGAAATAACACATTATTTGGAAAAAATTCTATGAATAGGGAAAATGGTGGTGTTGAATTAATTTCATACATTTTGTTTTCAATCATCAACACCCTTGTAATAAATTATGAATTTTATTTTTTAGGTACTCTTGCTGTAACTGTATATGCCTTACCATGGTTAATCTTACTGCTGGCTCCCTTGGTTCCTGTGTATCATTGGCTTCAAAACCATTACCGTTTGACTTCACGTGAACTGAAACGTCTTTCCAGTCTGAGTCTGTCTCCTGTCTACAGTCATTTCAATGAGACAGTAATGGGCCTTGCTACTATTCGAGCCTTTAGAGCTATTCCCAGGTAATACTATTTTTTCATTCAGCATCAAAGGTATTGAGAATTGTGTAATGGTACTGAAAACATGAAAGATACTCACTCAAGATATTTTATCAATAGGTTATTTGATATATTTACATATAATTGTTTCATTTTGTATCATGCAATTATTATTATTTGTAACTATAGTGTTAGCAAGGCAGTTAAACAAGCCTGTATACTCACACACACACACACACACACACACACACACACACGTGTCAATCACTGCATGTAGAGCCCCTCCAGCATCCAAATGACAGAACAAAGGTGGGGTTAGTTAACACACAAGAACTCTTACTTGACTGAGCAGTTCAGTAGAAGTCCTAACACTTCCCCTCAAGTCAATTGTACTCTAGGTGATTTTGTCAAATCTATCCCGATCACTTTCATGTGTCTATGCTGGGATGTAGGTAGACCCTTGATCAGGAAATCATCAGCCTGGTTCTCTGTCGGGGCATGAAGAACACAGATTACCTTCTGCTTCAGCACATCTGACAAAAAGTGGTGACAAGTATCTATGTGCCTGTAGCTAGCACTCTGTGTCAGTCTCACAGTTGTCACACAGAATTGTTAATGGAATCAACTTATTGAAGTCCAGATTCTCAAGAAACCGCCTGAGGAACACTTATTTCATTGACATTTTATAAAAGTGCTATATACTTCTACTCCAATGTTGAGAGAGCAACAGTGTACTATTACCGGTAGACTCAAGAGATTGTGCCCCCCTGCCCCACCCCTTTTCAATAGGAACAAATCTCCAGAGGAGAGGTGGCTCAAGGCATTAATTGATGTCACTGCAGTCCCCATGACCGGAAGGTCCTAGGTTCGAGTCCCGACGGTGGCAGGATTTTCGACACTAACTTGTCAGTGAAGATTTGTGGCTTCATGTTGATCATCTCTTCAAGTTCTCCATTTTAATACGCAATCTGAATGTAGAGTTGTCGCATCATCCCATGGATGGTATATGCCGCGAGGCAAATAATACGCGTTTGGGCCACCACCGGTGCAAAGGTTACTAGTAAGTGAACGACCTGTTGCTGTCGGATCCCCTGGGCAACCTGATGCGCTTCGCTTTTCTCTCTCCGTCGGTATGGTGTTTATTCATCAATGCCATTCGACAACCCCTCGACCTTTGGATATCTTTGCCGTTCCACAAGGCCCCATGTGTCATTCTTCAGGATGAATTTCACCGCGCATGCTGTGACATTACCAAACTCGGTCGCTTCAGCTCCTCTTTGAACGGCATCTCGAAGAGAAAATCTCTGACCTTCGGCTTCAAGCGGGTTGAAACCAGCTACAATCTTTCGTCCATCTTCCCTTGGAACCAGACCTAATAATATTGGGCGGACCAGGGCCTCTACGTCTTATGCTTTGAAGAGACGTCTTTTGAAGGGTTGCCGTCATCGAAACCCAGAAAGTCTTCATCATAGTGAGTGAAATCGCTGAATCCTAGGAAATTATCAGGTCACAGGTAGGTGATCTGTTTCTGCAGCAGGCTTCGAGCACTCCGGCTGAAATTTTACTTCTGTCAACTGCCGGTGCGTTAGTGGGCCCTCACGCTCACCTTCGGAATCTGTATCAACTTAGTTGCCAGTTTCTGTGTAGCGGCGTTGACGCTTCTTCGAAGACCAAAGGCTGTTCACCTTTGTCTCGGCATACCCCCAAATCACACCTCGCTCTTAAGAATCGATCTTCTCCTTATCAGGGCTTTTGTCAAGATAACTCGCCCGAAAGCCACATGCTCTTAAGGTCTGATATGTCTGGAGCTACACCATCCCAAGCCTAAAATGGTATCTTGCCGTCTAAGCATTTCGTCGGAAGATTCCATGGGCTGTTTGCTGGGTTTTCTGCCTCCGCCTTGAAACACTCTGGCCACCCCATTCTTTTAGTAGACCCCGGCAATCACAGGCAGTGTGCTGTTCTTTCGCTCGGCGACCCCCTTGTTCAGGATTGTAGGGGACCTCCAACCTCCGGGTAATGCCCTTTCCCTCGTTCTCGTGCTCTCCAGTGCTCTGGTATACACGATCGTTGTCTGCCTACAAGCATTTGTATATCCTGTCCTTGTTTTCGACTAGGGCCGAATAGTCTACGAAAACCTTGAAAACTTCTCCTCGGGACTTGAGAAACATGGCTTCACATGAGCGTGTCATCAATAAATTTCTCGATATAACCCGGAAGTGTTAAAGATGCTGCCCGCTAACGTCGCAATGATTCAGAATTAAGATCTCCATCTACCGCTCGGATTTCTTGAAGATAGGGGCTTTCGTCATCTTGCATTTTGAACATCGCACGCAATATTCCCGGAGGATTTGACCGTGTGACATTCGATCCCGCATCGAACACCTTCCTAGATGTCCCTTACGTTAGCATGCCACCAGTCTGTGCATGAGTTTCAGCGGAATTCTTGATTTCCTTGGCAGCGAGCGGTGTCGAGAGTGAGTCCTGACAGCACTAATAAATATAGGTTGTCCGAGTACCCTTCAGAACAATCTCATTGCTTGCGCCTTGAATTAAAGCTTCGTTCTTGATGAAGAGAACGTCGAATCCATGATTATGTATCCATGATAGTAATTTTGCCCACCGAGATCAGATTGATGTGGAACATAGTGTGTGTTAGCATGGCATTCCTCGCGTTGTCATCTACGCGCGCGACAAACCGCACTTATCATTCACTTGGAGTTGTTCGCCAGCTTCAGCACTGCGGAATTCGAGTTACCCGCTGAAGTGCTCGATCTCCTTGCAGATTGGTTTGCTGAGATTTTCTGCTGTTGACGTGCAGAAACGTACGTTTTCGACGAATTGTCGCTTGTCGTCTGGGTTTTGCTGTTATTTTTAGGACAATCGCTGGCCTAGTGCTTGGGCTATTTACATTTGTGGTAGAAGAAAATCGCTGAATTATCCCCTATATTTTGCCGTCTCTTATGCCCCGTCGGCTTTTAATGCTTTCCATTTTGTTGTAGCCGGAAGAGGTGGTTCAGTGCATCAACTGATGTCACTGCAGTGCCTCTGGCCGGGAGGTCTTAGGTTTGAGTCCCGACAGTGGCACTAGCTTGTTAGCTAGGCCGAGTTCAGTCGCTGTCTGGAGAATTCTAGAGGCGGGCTGTTCTGATCAGTATTTTTCTGTTGTTTCTCCGATCAACACCAGGCGAATACCTGAGTAGTACCCTAACAAACGGGCCACAGACCTCGCGCGTCCTTCCTTCCTATTTCTTGCCTACCCCTTACGCTCTAACAAGCACTACACTACCACACATGCCGGGAGACCGGTCGGGAGCATTGAGCTCCTGGCTGGGGCGGTGCCACACTGGTGGGAGATACCTGATTGGGGAAATCCCGCTAGCTGACGTAGGTAGGCGCCGGATCTCGCCATCCAGCGTGGGAAGATCACTGCCTCCTTCCGAGGAAAAACACGCACTACACTTACGGGACTAATGACCTCTATATGACGAGCCCTGAATCGCGGTTTGACATGTTTTCGGTGACAATTCCACGCGTCGTTTTTGATTAGCAGAGCTTCCATCTGAATCTTCCATGTGTCAAAATGACCCTTGTTTAGCGTTTCAATACGCACTAAGGATTCATTTTTATGAAACGCTGATTGCTTTGTTTAACCTCTAATTGACCACGCAAATGTTTCCGTTATGGATCAGTCATTTCGCGGCCCCCACTAACGCGAAACCTGGGCCCTAACCTATTAAAATTTTTTAGGTGGATCTGGAGTGCTGCTAGAGACAGACACATCATACCATAACAGATAACTTAACTATTCACTACTTTACAGGAACATTACACTGCTTTAACTTGTCTAATTCAAGATGGCACACACTGAACATACAAAGCCACGGAAGTGGCAGATACTGCCAATCTATGACAGCAAAGTTCTATTTATTCCTTACAAAAATCTATAAAGTCATTAACTGCCTCCAGGATTGCATTGATCTTCAAACGGAATTCAACAAAGTTTTCCAATGGTGCCTTCTTAAGGGGCTTAAACTAAATGTAAATAAATGTAAGTTGATGTCATTTAATAGACTCACTGATAAAATGACATTTGCTTACAAAATAGGTGACACTTCATTGGAAACGGTTTCATAGTTTCGGGATTTAAGGGTGTTTTTCGATGGTCAACTGAGATTCCATCTACATATTGAATATATTGTTAATTAAGCTAATCTGGTGCTGGCCTTTGTAAGACGCATATCGTCAGACTTTACTGACATGCACACACTTCAAATCTTAAACCTTACAGTGTTGAGACCAATTTTGCTACATGCTTTGCAGGTTTGGTGTCCTTTTCAAACTCACGTCTCTAGACATGAAATTGTTCAGCATGAATTTTTTATTTTTGTTGCTCATCAAAGTGGTATGCCATCACCTAGGTTAACTCATGATTATCATCGTATTGCAGCTAATCTGAATATAAGCTCTCTGCATTTTTGTAAGGACTGTTATGATTATTTTTGTATAAGTTAGTGAATAAGTTAATAGATTCTCCGACATTATTCTTTAAACTTTCTTGGGAGAAATTTATTTGTGGACTGCGTTACACCAAAACTGTACAATTTAGTATTCCATTTCCAATTGTCAACTCTTATTATTATGCCCCATTATGGAGGATGTGTCAAAGAGTACACACTGATGTGATTGATCTGTATTGCTCTTTTTGTAAATTTAATTGTAATGTTAAAAACCTGATTGTAATAATTTTAAGTAATGTCTTACTTTATTAGTGTTCTATTTACTATTGACCGATTGACCGTTGGCCTGTGCTGTATTGTATGTATGTAAATAAGTAAATAAATATTCATCAGTGACCTTAATTTTACATAATTTGCGAATATTTGAAAACTTCTGATAATCGGAATAAGCGGGAGTAGTTTTATAAACACAATGATAAATGTATTTTTGTAATTACAATTTCTTTAACTTTTGAATACTAAGGAGGAAAACTTTGAACATATCAAACAAAAGTTTGATATGTCTAGGATCATAAGTTGAAATTAAAGTATAAATAAAATCATGAAAATATTGAACACCTAACTTGAGTGAATTATTTAGAAAATAAGAAAACCAATCAATCAATGATAATTCTTTATTAGTGTTATAATAACTAACGTGAACTTCTTTAACTGCAATTATTTTAACATTATTCTCATTGGTGGGAACGGAACCATAATGGAGATGCATACATTACTAGTATATATACTAAATATTTAGAAAATGTTATACCAAAAAATTCCCAAAACGTCAAAAATACATATTTTTGCTCACCTGGTTTTACTCACAAGTATTCACCTGGCACGTTTTCTACTTGGTCTTTTGTTTTACTGCTGGATGTAATGTCATTCTGTTGATTTTCTCTACAAATTTTTCTTTGTATTTTAAAAAGATTTTTCTTACTGCTGAGGTTTATTTTAAAGTTTTTTTTTCTTTTTAATTTTTATTTTTAGATTCAAAAGAGAAAATGAAGAACATTTAGAAGCTAATCAGAAGTGTCAATTAGCTTCTCAGGCGGCTAGTCAATGGTTGGGGCTTCGGCTTCAGTTAATCGGTGTTGCTATGGTTACTGGCATTGGGATTATTGCTGTTGTTCAGCATCAGTTTGATGCTGCTGATGCAGGTACGTTTCATAATTGATTTTAATAATCATTATTAATGGTGAGGATGATGGTTAATCTTGCAAATCCATGCATACACAGAACATGTCAATGATTATTTGGTGTTCATACTCAAGAGTATAATAGTCTTGTTTCTATTGTAGTGTTTTGTATAAGTTATATGAGTAGAATATGAAAGAATATTGTTTGGTTGAAAATGACGACACACTAATTTGAGTAGAGTTAGTTCATGATTTTTATTTTATTTTAAGTTTCTTTTATAGTATGTCAAGGTCTTCAGTAATGTTTAGTTTAGCTTTGTAGAGTTAATATATCAAGTGTAATTATTATCCTCATTGTACCTTGGCTCGCCAGCAGTTTAATGTGAACAGTTTTGCTGTTTGTTTTCCACAAAGTGTTTTTGCTTGCCGTTTCTACACAAGCATTCAGAGTTATTGCTTAAATTATTGTCGTAGTTGTAGTTATATCACAGTTCAGTGGGGTGGGGTGCTGTGAAGTTTTGCACAGTGGAATTACACATTATTTGCAAAGTATTAATTCTAGGTCATTGTAATTTGCGAATTTTAAGTTGATGTATTCTGCCACCAAGCTCTTACACATAATTGCAGAATTTATTAATAAATATTAAAAAAATATTTATGTAATATTTCCAATGTTATGGTGGAGGTAGTTAATATATCTCCTATATTCCTCCAAATTGGAAGTTATCATCTGCTCCAGTTACAATTTTTAAATTTCTTTTTGTCTCTTGTATTATATTGTTTTGAAAGTGCTTTTCATTTACTTTTCAGGTTTAATTGGCTTGGCTTTATCGTATGCTCTGTCAGTAACAGGAATTCTCAGTGGTGTTGTGAATGCATTTACAGAAACTGAAAGAGAAATGATAGCTGTTGAAAGAATTCAACAATACATTAATCATGTGGAACCTGAGAACGTGCAAGAAATTCTTCCCCCACCATATGCCTGGCCAAGTCAAGGTGTTATTACGTTTTCAAATGTTGTTCTGAAGTACAGGTTTGTATTTATTGTTTTATGTAATATAATAGAAGTTAGGAATAATATTTGAGATCAATACAGAAAGTTATTTTATTACATTTTCCTATTTCAGGGACCATTTAGCACCTGCTTTGAATGGAGTGTCATTTGAAACACGACCTGCAGAAAAAATTGGTGTGATGGGCCGAACTGGTGCTGGAAAAAGTTCATTGTTGGTTGCATTGTTTCGATTGTGTGAATTGTTTAGTGGGAAAATATTAATTGATACAGTGGATATTTCGCACATAGGATTACATGGCTTGAGGTGAATATAATTACTTTTTTCTTTTTACATTAATTGTTGTTGGTTATGTTATAAGGGAGAGAATGTAAGGTTGATGCACGCATTCTAAGGGGAGATTTTGTTAACTGTAATTTGGAATGGTAAAATTATTCTTATCGATTTGCCTCACATGCTGATTTGAAGAAATGAGCTATTAATAGATTAAATAATATGGAATGTCAAATGGGAAAGTTCAAACACTCTCAATATATTTTTTTCTGTGAAATATCTAGTGAGTAAAGACAGGTGAATTTGCTTGAAGTGTTTGTGCAGTGTTCGGGAACAAGTCCATTTGTTAAAAACGGAACAGATATGATTTTACTTTGTGCTAACGTCGATGTTTGTTTAGGAAGATTATTGGACGGAAAACTAATATAATGTTTTCATACATTATTATTGTTTGGTAAATATACTAGGTTATCATGGTTATCGGAGGTAATTAGAACTGAGAGACTACCTTGTATAATCCAAAGTTCTTTTGCTAAGGGATGCTAAATAAAAAGAGGTTAAATGTACATTGGTAATTTAAGGTTTCCATTTATAATGATCTATAAAGAATAATGTATGTTGTAATCATACAAATGTCAGAACACTCAATTTAAAGGAATGAACACTCAATTTAAATGAACACATAAGGGTCGGTCAGAAAGTATTGCCCCTCCCCTCTCTCTCTGTCTCTCTCTCTGTCTCTCTCTCTGTCTCACTCTCTGTCTCACTCTCTCTGTCTGTCTCTCTCTCTCTCTGTCTGTCTCTCTCTCTCTGTCTGTCTCTCTCTCTCTCTGTCTGTCTCTCTCTCTCTGTCTCTCTCTCTCTGTCTGTCTCTCTCTTTCTCTCTGTCTGTCTCTCTCTCTCTCCCTCTTTCCTCTCTCCTCTCTCGTCTGTCTGTCTTGAGAAATATTTATTGGAAGAACCTGAAATTTGCACACAATTAATACACTTATTTTACAGGCTCTATTTTTTCACATATTTTATCACATATTATCAACTTGCCTCTTACAGCCTTGTGCCAGCTTGAAACAAGGGCAGGTTTGCCTTGCCAGTGCCAAGTCTTTTTCAGGCAGCATTGCCTTTCCTTCACTTCTCGTCATCTTCAATTTTTCTTCTGTGAATAACATTTTTCAGTTGCTCAAAGGGATGGAAATCTGAGTGGGCCGAATAGAGAAAGGTGGATCGGAGGCAGTCCATTTTTGTCGGTGCGCCTCTTGTTGTGTCACTTGTGTGTAGGCATGCGTTATCAGGCAAGAGAAAGCTTAGTGCACAATTCTTATGGAATTGAATTCGCAGGAAATGCTTCTTTAGGGTATTCAGAGTGTTGATGTAAGAATTTGATTGATGATACTGTCTGTGGGCATAATATCAAAATGAATTATATCATCAATATCCCAAAAGACAATGATCAGCATGTCTGGACTTGTCACTGTGGCGGGATGCCCAGAGTGCGGCAAATCACAGAGATCACTCATATTAATAAAAAAAATTCACTTGTCATTTGTTTTCACCATTTTTTAGTTTCATTTGTCATCCCTAGTGAAAAAAAACTATGTTGACATAAATATTTAAAAAGAAAAGAATTGCTGATCTTTTACGAGCGTGGCTGCAGTAGATTGTGATGATGTATTTCAGTGCACATGAGTCCTCAGCAAACCTGACATAAGAGACAAACAAGTAATTTGATAAAGAGTTGGTTCCTAAACCTCATTATTTCCCTGATCTTGCATCTTCATATCTAACTTCCACTCTTCCCATCACTCTTCCCACTCTCAACACCACTCTTCCCACCTAAACACTCAACACTCACTTGTTGACAATGAAAAGATTATTTAAACTCAACACAATGATGCCAGGATCTCCAATCTAACAGATTTTCTCAGGATACAAATTGGAAAATTGCTCGACACAAGACAAAAAAGCAGAGATAGCATCAAATAAAATATTACCAATTAGTTCCAAAGTAGTTTTCATCTCGAATTAGTTCCTCTGTATCAAATTAAAGGCCTATCTTAGAGCATATGCACCCAAACACATATTAAACCAAGGGTGAGGGTTTGAATCCCATGTAAGGCATGGATGTTTTCAGTTGTAGTGTCCATCGTCTGCATTCCTAGGACCCTGTGTTACCCTTGAACATACATCCTTTCCTTAATTATCTTTCTTAACTCGGTAATAAGGTGTGAGCATTTAGATTGGGAACGATGAAATTGATTAATGGGGCAGTCGGTGGCATCTAGGAAACTTAGCTCCCTACCACTGAATGTAGTCCAACACTAACAGGCTTACCAGCTACATTGGCTCTGGGAATATGCACTAATCCAACGAGGACTCATGAGTCACATCTGTGTGATCTTGGGAAAACATCGTCTAAGTAACCCAAGTGATCTTCCATCTATAAAAAGCACATGAATTGTGTGATGCCCGTGGCATATATGCATCACCCTAATTCTCCTGTCGGTAAGAGTAGTGACGCAATTCACAAAAACTTGTATTTTATGAGAGAGCTGAATAAAATTTACCAAGGTTTAATTATCCAAAAAAAAGGAATAATTTAAGAAATCTCTTGCTTTCAAAGTAAAAAACCTCTTTAAAGTAATTCTCAATTTTTTCCCAAGCATATAGAAATGTGTAGTCCATTACACAACAAAAGTAAAGAACAACTAAAAATCACAACAGCTATTGGAGACTCGGCTTGCTAATACTACCATAATACGTTGCGCGCGGCGATGGTGTAATGGTTACCGTATCGGACTGTTGACGGGTTCAAACCCGATCGAAGCCGTGGGTTTTTAAGGGCGAAAAAATCCTTCGGAGGGGAAGTATAGCCGGCTGTCCCATGTTAGTAGATTAATTACATGTAATAGATCCTCAAGCCTAAATGTCGCCTCTGAGCTAAATTCAAATTGCCTGTTTCTCGCCCAAGAAATACCTTCTTTCTCTGCTAGCTGATGAAAGGAGCGTAGCGAAATTTGCATGGTCAGAAGGAAGAGCAGGCCTCATTGCCTGAGTCTCGTCACGTAAAGTCAATTCAAATTCAATTGAATAATAAGTATTAATAATACACCGAAGTTTTAACTTCAATGCGCTTAATGGAGATACTTATACTTATATGAAATACATCACAGGAACAGTTGTTTACCGCTTTACTCATTCTACCTTTGAGGCTGTTATCAGTGCAGGATTGAGAGTATGTTTGTAAAGCAGACATAACATCATGTCTATGCTTGTTGTGAAACTCTGAAATTAAATAGTTAGTTATGAATTGAGAAATGTCATTTAGATCTTGGTGATTTTAGCGATGTCAAACAAAGAATTGCTTCTAATTCATGATAAATGTGGTTACGAAATGGATCTCTCAAACAGAGCTGCGTAGCAGTAATTGTGAAGAACTAGTGCTGAACCATTTCTAAGTATTAATACAGAAATGTTTTGTTTTTCAAATGGAAACATATTGCATCACTAAATCTATGAGAGACTGAGGCCAATGGCATACTGCATTTCCAACTCTTAACATATCCCGTTTAGTTACTTATAAACTACAGGGGGTGATAATTAATATGATAGTAATAAGAATGAGTGTTGATAATAGTCCAACACGAGACAGCCAAGTTAAGGGAGATCAGTGGATCAAAGCCAGGTGAACATCATTCTGAAACTGTTAGAACTCCACACATTTCTTAAATTCATGCACTTTGTAATAGCAGTTGAAAAAGTAACATAATTGTCTAGGTAGTTATTTACAAATAAACTTTTCAAGAAATGCTTGGTGCTTTCAACATTACAAAATAGGTTTGTTGCAGCAAATTTTTGATAGTGCCTCTTGAGTCTCTGGGAGACCCACTTTCTTAAATATTTTGTATATTAACAATCGGTGATCTGTATCCTTGCTTGAGAATGTGTGGATGATTTTTAAAGAAATAATTGATGTGGATTTTGTTTTCTTTTGGAAGAATCGCTTGCTCGTGTCTAGATATTTTTGATTTATTTTGTCAATATACAAGTGAAACTCACCAAGTTCATTTTTTGAAGTTTTTGAGTTATTTACAGAGCTAAATCATTTTTATTTCATCATTGTTAGTGAAATTCGTGAAGACTGGAGTTTTGATGTGCTAAGTTATTAAGTTACAGGACAGGACAAGGGAATCTTTTGCAATGAATCATGTTGAGGTATTGCTGTTAAAATTTAAAATTCGCGTAAGGTAACCAAGTTATATTTAATTATTGATTTCAATAGAGATTTGATGAAACATCTGTAAAAACGTTTAAATATTCATATTTTACAACATTAGGAGTAATAAAGAAGTGCACAGGCTGTTTTCCTGTTGAAGACATTGGCCAACGATAAACTAGATAGAATAATTGTGTTTTAAGGATCGGTGTCGAAACCTTCCTACAATGACTTCAAAAAAATGTGCCACATAGTCCCTCATAGTTATTATTAAATTACTTATCTTAGTATCCATCCTGCTGATTTTATTAATAATATTCAATTAAAAGATATGTTTGTATTTATTTTTGAAGGGTTAGGCTGGCTGTTATACCACAAGATCCATTTCTTTTCTCTGGCTCTATAAGAGAAAATTTAGATCCTGCCTCTGAGTACAGAGATGATGAATTGATGAATGTGATTCAAAGGTGTCATATGGCAGCTGCTGTTAGAAAACTTGGAGGTTTGGAAGCAAAGTTGTCACCAGGAGGTTCTAATCTCTCTGTTGGTCAGCGACAGTTATTGTGTCTGATTCGTGCTGTACTACATAATGCTAAGGTTAGTTGTGTCACTTTAGTTATAAAAAGATTATTTCAATGTTAATTGTTGCTTTTTTCCCTTCTTCAATACAAAATTTATTTTCATCAATTAAATTGTTCATTTACCCCATTACACTGTTTCTTTAAAAGAAAAAAAAAGAGGGAGAGTAATACATTCCAAGTACTATTTTCATTTAATAAAATTACTTATTATTATTATTATTATTATTATTATTATTATTATTATTATATAGTTACATATTTTAAGAGTACTTTTGAATTGTTCAATAGATTGTTTGCATTGATGAAGCAACAGCAAGTGTTGATTTGGAAACTGATCGTAATATTCAACATACACTTCGCACGTCATTTCGACAAAGTACTGTGATATCTATTGCTCACAGAGCATCTACAATAATGGACCTTGATAGGTAAGAATGGGAAAGTATTTTTATTTGTATTGCATTATATAGTATATTTATGCTAACTTTTTATTATATTTATTACATGTTTATACTACCACCACCACTACCAGCATTATCATTATATTCACCACCA